GATAGATAGACCACTCAGTGGATAAGGAATTGGCCCGACAGTCGCACTGAGAGTTGTGGTCAATGGCTTGATGTCCAAGTGGAGAGCAGCGATGAGTGGCATTCCTCAAGGATCAGTACTGGGACTGGTGCTATTTAACATGTTTGTCAGTGACATGGACAGTGTGAGGGCACCCTAAGCAACTTTGCTGACAACACAAAATTGTGTGTGCAATTGACACACTAGAGGGAAGGAATGCCATCCAGCAGGACCCTCACAGGCTGGAGAGGTGGGCCCATGTCAAACTCAAGTTCAACAAAGCCAAGTGCAAGGTCCTGCACACGGGTCAGGGCAATCTCAAGTACAATTACAGGTTGGGTGGAAAATTAATTAAGAACAGTACTGAGAAGAAGGACTTGGGAGTGTTGGTTGATGAGAAGCTCAACATGAGCCAGCAATGCAAGCCTGCAGCGCAGAAAGCCAACTGTATCTTGGGCTGATCAAAAGAATTATGGCCAGCTCTATTCCACTCTATTCATGACACTCTACCTGGAGTACTGTGTCCAGTTCTGGAGTTCTCAACACAGAAAGGACAAGGAGCTCCTGGATAACGTTTAGAAGAGGGCCACAAAGATGATCAGAGGGCTAGAGCACCTCTCCTACAGGGACAGGCTTCGAGAGTTCTTCAGCTTGGAGAAGAGAAGGCTCTGGGGAGACTCTATAGTGGCTTTCCAGTACATGAAGGGGGCCTACAGGGAAGAACTAAAGTATCTTCAAGGTCCCTTCCAACCCAAATGATTCTGTGATTCTATGAAATATTTGTATAGATTACAAAAGATGACAGTAGTATAATAATAATATCCTTACTTTATTCAGAGGACCATTACTTGGGACATTTATCCAGAATGTGAGAGACTGGGGATTAAACCCTGACTCTCAAAAGAGAACAGCAAAGATCATCATTCCCACTGGCAGCATGACACTTCCTTGTATATATTAGAATAGCCAGAGAGGGCACAGGCAAGAATGATACTCTACACTTCTTGAAAATGTAGATTCAAATCCACATAGGATCATGGAGTCTACTCTGGATTTTTCATACACCGAGTAGGTGCCCAGTTATTGAATAAAATGGGACACCCAGCATGCTGAAGCATGGAATTTGTTAAAAATATGTATGCATTTATTTATTTATAGCAAACAAATAACTACCTATCTATACCTTTTCCCCCATTTCACATCCAGAGACACCCTTCTTTTTCAGAAGCACATAGTGTAAGGACATGTGGAATAATATTTTTTTTTCTGAGGATATCTAATTAACACCTTTTTAACACACAAGACTTGGACAATGGACAAGTAGGTCCCAGATGCACAAACCCAGAAGATAACTGAGACAATAACAAATACGAGAAATCTCAGGCCACTGATGGGCCATTGGAGGAACCACTCAAAGCTCTGGGGAGATTCAACTGGAACTTCCTAACAGATAAGGGAGAAATCTTGCAGGAAAAACGTGGGATATTTTAGAGCACTTGCATGACTGTGTAAAATGCACTATGGGATTTTTAGGGGAAAGGCAAAGGTGGAGAACAGATGGGATGAAGGTACATTGAGGATGACTGAGCACAAGAAAACAGAGAGGCGGCGAGACAACAGGGACCAGTTGTGTGTAAACAAGCTGCTGGTCGGCATGCTTGCCTAGCCAGGTCCTGACCTCGCTCCCAGGTAAGGTCTCTGTTCTGTGTGTGCTGCTAATGAACTTCAAGCCAGGATGGCTAGCAAACAAACAGGGTAAGTGGTCTGGGACCTAGCTACTGGAGAGAGCTTGAGTCTGGGTGTCAGGTACCGCAGACTCCAGGTTTGTACTGGGGTCAGCCTTCCCACTAGAGCTGAACATCAGGACAAGCCTGACTGTACTGGGGAAGGAAGGAGAGTGTGCTTACATCCCAAAGCCCGGTGGACTGGGCTTCCCTTGGATGCAGTTCACCTCTACAATTGTACTTAGATGGCAACATGTCTGCAAGACACCAAATACACAGCTTTAGCCAAGAAACTCTGTTCTGCTGTAGCAACCGTCAACATGTCCGAGCAGGCTACGCACCAGCTGTGGGAAGAAATCCCAGGCCAGCACTGGAGCTCTGAAGTGGGATAACTAAGGCCCCTGGAGAACAAGCTGTCAAAGGCGGCACTTACACCAAGCGAATTCCTCAGGGGCAAACAAACAAACAAACAAAACAAAACCAACGTATTATTCCCTTAGGTAAGCACTCCAAAAACAGCCTTTCCGCGAGAGTCTGCGAGGGCTGAGCTGAAACAGGTTGCGGAGGCCCGTGCCTCGCCAGGGCAGCGGGTACTGACGGGACAACCCAGGCTGCCGACACCTTCCGCCG